GTATTGACTTTCTTGTAAAACTGTATTTGTGCTTATCAAGTTCTAAAGTATTCAGTGAAATTATATTAACTTTCTGTTGTGGTAAGAGACAAGCCTTTGGTTGAAAGAATTAAATATATTCTTTTATCAACTCTAGTCCTGTGCTTTTTCATGATTCTTCTGCTACATGAAATGGTTTTCATGATTCCAGGCATTAAAGAATACCTAAAAAAGGCCATTTCCTTTTAAATTTGTGGAAGTCATTGCTAGAGGAGGCATGTGACATGGGTACCTTACTACAGTTTGAGATGAGGGATCTCGTAATAAGAATAATATTTATATCTGCCCTAAGTTTATTGAGTCACAGAGACCGTCATCTCTATTTACATACCACCAAATTGCAGCAGTAATTCCAATTAAGTTTAAAAAAGTATTGTATGATCGAGGCTATGGAATGTTTCAGACAATAATGTTTAGTTTTAAGTAATTGAAAAAGAAAACTAGATTGAGATGTGAATTTCTTCTGAAATTACATGGAATGATATTTTCCTTCTGTGATTTGAGAGCAGCAATCAAGTCTATTTGGGATTTCTCAGTACGTAAACAACAAAAGAACTGAAATCTGACTTTTGAAAAATTAGATAGAAGGAATTAGGTGAAAGTTAAATGAAAACCAAAATAAAGGTGGAAGTTAAAAAATGAATACAGGCTGATTTTTTTTTTTTTTTTTTTAGACCTTATTGATTTCCTTTTTTATTTTAAAATGGAACAGTAAACCATTGGCTTGACTAATATTTTTCATCTTTTGTTCAACAGGGTAATAGAGGTCCCCCTGGGGTGCCAGGTTTGATGGGAAATTCTGGTAAACAGGTAAGATCATTAATCTTATTCAAAAGGTCTAGAAAAATGAAAAGTTTTGCATTGTGTAAAAAATCACTTTTCAAATTTGTTGCATTCTTCCTATCCCCAAAACAGGGTGAACAGGGTCCAGAGGGAGAAGTGGGTCCAACAGGTCCCCGGGGACCACCAGTAAGTATTGAATAAATTTCTAACTGACCGTATGTAATATTCCAGTGTCTCAAGTTATGGTTGCTGAAGCTAACCATGAGGTAAAAATATTATGCAGTACAAGTGCTAATTTTTAAGGTATATACTAGGTGTTCTTTAACCCGCTTCTGTACCAGGTGGATGTGCATCATCACATAGAGAAATCCAGAAGCACATGTCCTATGACTGTTTCTGGCTTTGGTGATAAACTAAATCTTAAACCTTTGTTTATATTCTTCTGGTCTTTGTTTTTAAATATTCTGAGTAAAAGCCCAAACAGAGGGAATGAGGGTGGTTTGTGACAAAAAGCTGGAACCAAACTCCTGTTCTTCCACTGCAACAGTCAACTCCCACAACTGGTGTTGAAAAGCTTAAATTCACTAGCTGTCAGTAGATCACTTGCTGTTTTCTTTAACTGTTTCAGCCTCTTAAAGAAGCTTGTGCTATATATTACAAGGCTTAGCTGTATATCACAAGGTTTTGAACTTTGGACTAAGTATTCAGAACACGAATTTTTTTGGCTAGGACCTATTTCTAATGCACATAATGTGAAGAGTGAGGCAAGGTATGAAGGAAAGGTAGCTGTCTGTCCTACCTAGTAAAGAAAATGGCTAGAGATTGTCCTCAGCCCCCTTGGTCAACTGGCACGGTTTGTCTTCATACTGCTAAACTCTCTTAACACACCCTCATGTCTAAGAGGAGTCAAGTTGCATGTTGGGAACAGTCTCTTGCCAGTGTTCCCAAAACTGTTCTTGGGCATTATCTGGGTAAGTCCAGTTCGCCTGAGACAAAAGCATGCTAACCATTTATCATGGATGATGGTGGGATGCTGCTTGGGCCTGTGCCTTGGCCCTTTCTGGTTGGTATTATGAATGTAGCTATAGTGATGTGAAGTATAGCATTTGCTTGGGAACACTGATGTAGTTTCTTCCACTGGAGATTTTTCTTAACACTAGAAAGATTCGGAAGACTGGAAAAATCATTGTTGGGCAGGTAGCTCACTGCAGGAAATAAATGTGTTAAGGAAAGTGAACTGATGGCATTTGCTAAGGCCCAGTTTTGAAGACAAAGGACAACTGTTCCTGAGGCATGCTTGGGGTACTAGAGAGTCTGCTGGGTACAGATTTCCGATAGCCTCTAGAGTGGACCTGGCATGGATTGAAGTTACATAAGGATGATCTAATTTCCCTTTGCTGTTAATCCTTCTGTGAGGGATGAGATGGCCAGTGATTTGAAGAAAATCTTCATATAGCAAAATTCAGCCTGATGACATTGACAAGGCTCCAGGCTCTGTAACCAATTGCTTTGCCAGCTTCTCTCTTGCCACTGATACCCTAGGGATACTTTCCTGGAATTTTCTGAGCTTCTGCTACCGTACAGTGGCGTAAGAGTTTTACTCATGCAGTTGTAGGGTTGTTCTCATAGAGGCTTAGAGAGTTACTGATAGGGATATATTTGTAAGGATATTTCATGGGTCAGGAGTATCTTCTCTGAATTAACTCTTAAACACACAGCAGCAGTCAGACAAGTGACAGATTTAATTTTTTTCCGTTTTCTTCTGTGGTTTGCGTTCTTGTGTGGTGGATGCATTAATTCATGAGATCACATTTATTTTAGACTGAATCTTTGTATGAGTGCTGTGTCCACAGCTACCTATGAATGATATAAAAAGGAGATTGTATGAGCATATACTTACTAGGATGAAATACAGGTATCTTCAGCCTCCCATATACCCAGCTTGCAAACATTTATTTTTGTTGTTTGTGTTTAAAAGTGCAGGGTGCACTAGAAAAAGTTTTCAGTCCTGTTCTTCTTGAGCTGATATTTTGTGTACTTGTAACAGGAATAAGAATTATAATTGAATCAGACCAAAGCAATTGCCCACTCTGATAATGCACTGTAATCTGTTAAACTATGCTTTTAATCCTTTCAATGTGAACATGAATTTACAAAATCAGCAGTCCATAGAACAGGAGTTGACATGCAAGGTTAATTATTAGTAACCCTGTAGTCGGACAAAAATACTTAATGCAGATTAAATACAATGAACCAGCAAGACATCTGGATATCTTGCCTTTATTTTCTCTGTCTTTACAAAGTGCACTCATTTTGGAAAATGTGAATATTAGAACAAAAGCATAGAAAGAAAAAAACTTTTGGTCAATACAAAATGGAGAAAGGAAGTAAAGTATTGATAATTAAGTTTGCATGTAGAACATTAAACAGTAATCTATTTCTCATCTATAGTTCCTTTAAAGCTATAAAAAGCCTTGAATAAACTATGTTTATCTTCCTTCTGCTCAAGACTACAGGCAGCATATGACTGGAATGGCCTTCTGTTTTCTTTTTGGGAACACTGGAAAAAACATTACTTCTACACAAAAAACTGGAATGATCAGGATTTTTTGTTCAGGAAGGACACAGGGTTGGATTATTGAATCTCAGTGAGCTTTGGTCCAAGTTGAGTTTGTATTTATTTTCAGGGCAGAATAAAGAGTGTTTTCTCTTTCTTCTTCAGCATGTACATACAGTAGATATATTTGAGCCTCAGCTTTTAGGACTCTGCCCTTACATTTCCAGGAAAAAAAAATCTGCCAGTTAAATAATTCTACACGCCATGATTTTCAAACTTCTAAAACTAGTAATTTTGAAAATAATTTGAGAAAAGCTTTTATAATTGCTCTAAAGATATTTTTTCTTGTGAATATTTTTGTATTCTTTTCAGATTTTGAAATTTTCTCACAACTTTAACATTTGATACTTTTTGACCAAAGTTTTGTAACCAAACACTTTCAAAGCCTGAGGATTTTATGGTTACTATTCAGGTATTTTTCTTGTCCTTTTCCTTCCTGTTTTAGATTATCCTCTTTAGCACTCACCTCAGTTCTTTTCTTTCTCCTTTACCCTTTGTTCCATTTCACTGTTGGTAATAGAAGACTCAGGTAGAAGTCAAGAGGGGCTGGGCTTCTTCCTTGGAGTTGGAAAAAACCTTGACGTTTTGCAGGATATGGAGAACTTCAGCCCCTTAATGTACTGCTGCATGGCAGCAGCCACATGAGAGATCCTCTTCACTTTCCCATTTCACTTACCCCTGTTTTTCACGTCACTACTTGGGAAAGACAGCATGGCTGGTAGCTCCAGGAGGGTCAGAACTGTAGAGGAAAGGATGTCCAGTGAAGGTTCATGGGGGATAACAAGTACAGGACTCTGCTAGTATGGACAGCAGGCTGGTATCTGCACTAGGGAAAAATAACATGCCTATATTTGTGTTATATTAAAAAATTGCCTGACTTTTCAGCTTTAGCTACTTGCAAAAGACATCTTTTTGAGGAAAAAATTTTCACTTCAACTAGTGTGTAGTTTTTTGAAGGAGTTGCACAATGAAGTGCTATTAAGCAATCATCATTGACTTTGTGGGACAAATTAATACTTCTATACTGTTTACCAAATAGCCTGTAGCATCCTCTGGCATAAACCATGTTATTTCTATGTTATTTTCATTATTAAACAATTGTTGGAATGAAGTTGGAACTGTATTGTTACTAAGCGGCGGATTAAAATTTTGGCCTTTTGCCTTTTACAATTTCACAGGGAAGATATTAAATGGTTGAAAACACGATAACTAGCTCTAATTAAAAATAGGCAAACTCATGTGTTGGGAGACTCGGACAAATCTCCCTAGGAGAAGATTACTTTCAAAAGTACCATTTTAGTCTATCATTGCTTTTCCTTAGAAAACTTAAGTTGGCACCTGAGAGGAAAAAAAAGTTTTACTTTTGTTTATTTAGTTTACTATTCATCTGTTCAGTAAAAAAGAAAAACAACTGGAGGAACATGAAAATTTTGTCTTTTGTTTCTAAATCAAACATATTCTCCATTCCACTCTAATTGCTTTGTCAGTTAACCTTATGTTTGCCTTATATTATGCTAGCCAATCCAAGTAATTACCAAACTCATTTGTGATTTAAACCTTTCTAAGCCAGTCATCATGGCAGGTGGCCCAAAGGAAGCAATTCTCAAACATCGGAGTGTCATTCCTAATCAGTGGAATTTAGCCATGCTCCCTAAGCTGCTTAACCATTTTCTTTCCTATTTGCTGAGATTTAGTAAGATTTAATTTTTCATATTGTGTCTGCAGAAAATACTGACCCCTGCCCCTGCTTTTTTCATCCCTTGTGTTTCTTCAGCTGTTTAACCTTTAAATTGCTAACATTTGGAGAACATGTATCCCATCCTGTGGTTTTTGCAGTGAAAAGAGTGCTTGGAACATTTAAGTAACCATTTAACTTAAAGTTCAATACTTGCCTAGCAAATCGAGCAAACTCTTGATGTATATGCAGGCCAGCATATATATATATATTGTTAAGGATTTAGGATGCAGTATATGTTTTCCTAACATTAACAACAGAGGTTAAGTATCTAGCTGCCTAAGATTTGATACCGTAGCCCCACTCTGAGAGACTTCTGGAGGGGTCAGGTTGGGTTGGGCTGACTTGGTCTCTGGAGGTGCCTTTGTCTCTCTGCTCATTATAAAGAGGGAGCCTGGAGAGTTCCTTGGATTTGGTACTAAAATGTCAGACAACCTAAGGTTAGATAAGAATACTGTTTTCAGCATCTTAAATTACTTCAGCTAAATAATTTTCTGAGTCTTTTAAAGATATTTTTGTCTTACCTACCCTGAAATGTATCTTTGGTTACCCTAACAATTATAATGAAAATGTAGTTTTTCTATCATATTCTTTTTACATGACTCCAACTGAAATAATGGGTCGTTTTCCATAGCTGGTATTGGTGGAGTGGTGTTGGTAGTGTGACAGGATGAAATGTCCTTCCCTCAGTTTATATGATATGTTTAGGTATTAGTGGACATGTTTTATATATATAATTTCAGAGGTGTTCCACAAGTGGTGAGTCATAGTTTACATTTAAGATACAGCTAAAGGGGTTAGCATTGCACAATCTATAGCAGAGTCAAAAGAACAATTTCCATCCTGCCAGGCATGCTTTTTATCCAGTAAACCTAAGCCTCTAGATGGATATAACTAAACTTTCTGACCTTGCACAATTCTGCAGCATGGTTTGTACAGGTAGCACTTTCTCCTCTCTCACTCACAGACTACGTATCCCAGCCAAACCTGATTAGTATCTCCAAGCCTCTCCAGTTCTCATACTATCCACCCCGTCTTTCCAAACTGCATGGTCAGATTCCTGTCTGCTACCTCACTCTTTACCCCTCCACCTCCAACAACAGCTTCCTTTGACTTTTGGGCATGCTAGACCTCTGGATGTCAGCAGATATCCCAATCTGTCTTGGCTTCTCCTAAGCAGTGTAGACAGTAACCTGGGTAAAAAATACATTTATTATGGAGTTAGTGTACTAAAGCTGTCCTAGACTTCACTTAACACTATAGATGCAGCCGGTATGAAGGGTCTCTGTCCTTTATACTTGGCCACAGTATCACCCTTGAAAAGAATGGCAACTGTTAGGTTGCTGCTTGTGCCCAAAGCATGACACTTAAGAGGAAGGTACATTTCATGCTACACCTATCTCTTACCATTATCCTGAGCAGTACAATTTAATTATTACTCTGAGAAAGGTGCAAAGGTGCATTTAAAATCTCAGAGAAAGCTTGCTGTATATTTACTCTTCTAGCAAATAATAATTTATATTTTTGGATGCTTTTTAGTACTGTACTGAAGGTCAAAGGAAGAGTCCTGTTAATGCTTCCATGGATAAATCCTTGAACCTAAATTAAGAATTCCTCTGAGATTTTGGATGAAAAAAAATTATGATAAGTTAAAGTCTCACAAGCATATAATTGATAAGTGGGTTACCTTGTGCAAAAGACTTCAGAATACTAAGTTTAAAGAAAATTCATTGTAACATGTACTTTGTTTATTCTTTTTTATTCTGTGCAGATTTAATTCTATATGGCACTGCTATTGAATATACTAAAAACTGGTATGATATGTATTATAAAAACAAAATTCTTAAGAAGAGGAGAGTTTATTGCAGTATACACTGTGAATTACCTGTCAAGATATTGTAATTAGTGTTTCCATTATCTGAGCAGCTAAGTGAGATGCAAATTACCTGGGGAATATTCTCATTCTTATTATTGTTCTGCTAACAGAAGCATCCTTAACAGGATCAATTGGTCAACATGAAATCAATAAACCAGTGAAAGAAACTGTTTTAGTGTGAGAATGCATTCTGTAATGGCTTGTGGGAATTCTACAAAGGAATAAAGTCTTCAAAATTTCAGTGAGGATGAAAACCATCCTCAACAATATCCTTAGACAACCTAAAGGAAGGTCTGCTGTGGATCCTGTAACATCCCCTTACGTACGTTACATTCAAAGGCTAAATATAGATCTAACAGAACTGTGAGAGAGACATTACATCTTCATTTAAATGTATTGAGTGGTCCAGCAATCCTCCCTTGGAACAAAGGGAAGGTAGATTTTGTTGTAACCACAGTCTAGCATATCAGCTGCGGAAGGGCTGCATCCTGGTATTGTTCAGTATTGTGGTGCTGTACCACCAAGTCACACCCTACCATTTCACAGGTGCCTTGCCGTCCTTTGAGAGAATGACCTTATCCTCAGTAGCAGTCACATGCTAAGCGATAGTATACTCAACAGAAATCAATTATTTGTACTGTTAAAGTACTGGAGCAGTCCTGGACATGCTTTTGGTCCACACTGTCTAACATCATTGACTGAAACAATCTTTAGGCAGTGGCCAAGTTTTAGAGTACTTCAGGGGCCATTTGCAGTGGGAGTCCGCATGCTGCCTCCCTTCATTGTAGGCCAGGAACGTTTACCAGCATGGGTGCAAGCCAATCTGTCCCAGCTCACGCTAAACCAGAGCAGCTACTTTCCCTCTTCAAGCATTCCACCTCTAGGAAAAGTAAGAATTTTGAAGTGTGTCAAAAGTGCATAAAACATACAGATTCTGGTCTTTTTTTTTTTTTTTTTTATTTTTGTGAAAACCAGTGCAACATGCCCATTGATTTGTGAGTGGCCTGTTATATATAGGGCGGCCATGTAAGAAAGGTAGGCTGAGGACATGGCCAGACTACCTTCTGTTCTGATTATTGCCTATGAGTAACTTAGAGCACAGAGGGAGGTTTCATCTGACCAAGTACAGATGTCAACACCTGAACCAGTTATTACAGAAACCCTCTTATAGGCTGTGGGGAAAATGTAGATGCTTCTAGTACATGACTGGCGATGTATTTAAAATGTTTACATGAGGACATTTCAAGATGCTTTTTTTTTCTTCATCCCCTATGAAGGGAACCAAGAGTAACTAGCTCAATGTAAATCCTATCCCAGGGTCGTTTCAGTCAGGTGTAACTTGGATGAAGCTTCACAGTCTTTTAAATAATGCCATGGAGCAATGGGATTCCTGATTGTTGTTTGGGTTACAGTTCTCCTCTTACCCGCTAAAACACTTCTGCAGATCTTGTAGTGGTGGCCCTTAGTTTGAAGTAATCTGTCCTTACAGACATAATGTCAGTGTTTATGGGAAATACTATCCTTTTGTATTCCAGTCTTCTGTATACTAACCTTCTTTTTTACAACCTTAGAAAGCATTGGTGTTTGAAAAAGTGCCTGTAGTGTATAATTGACAAAAGAGGTTTTTTGCATTTAAAATAAAATGGAAGATTTTTCTTGCATTCTGTATGACCAACAGAACCTTTGATGTGTTTAAGAGGTTTATTATATTATTTTTACTGTATGGAAGGTGACATTGCTTTTGTTTTATAGCTGTAGGGCAATCAGATATGAATGTTATGACATATATGAAGAGACAAGTTTCTAATACTGATCATAATTTTAATCCTTCTCTTTCCTGCATCAGAAATGTAGTACTATTCCAGGTCAGAGATGTAGTACAGAATTATGTGATTAAATAACAGATTTTCAAAAAAGTTAATGCATCTTCTGGGTTGTAAGATGAAGGTGATTTTTTTTTTCTTATTTTCTTTTTCTTTAACATGAAAAAGCTTCTAGAAATTATAGAAAGTGCTTTAAAAGGATAGTGATTTTAACAGCATAGGATATTTTGAAGGAAATGAATTGAAAAGTCTATTTATGTTTGGTTCTGTGATCTCTCCGGGATACCTAATTATTTCTTGAATTGTAGAGTTAGTTTTCCTAAGCTTGTGTGAGAAGTTGTCATTGCATTTATAACCTGGTGTAAAAGGCCATGTCTGCCATCTCCTTTTATTGTTCAGTATGTCACAATATTTCACAATATTCTTCTAATTATGAAGAAAATATCTATATTTAAAATTATCTGTTGTATACAGCATTAGAATGCTTAGATCTGGTTATATCCAAACTTTTCTAAGTTATATATAGCAGGTTTTCAACTTACATATCTAATAACTTCAATTCTTGGTATTTTATTATCTTAAATGCTATATCATGCTTTTATAGCAAGTACCCCTTATGTATTCACGCTGTGGAAGTAAGAGAAGTTTCTCAAATGAGACTTAGGCTTGTGTTGGGACAGTGTTTGTATTTATCTGTACAGGTGAGAGTAAATGTACAAAACTTATTGAGCTATTGTGAAAGGTTTAATCATAAGAGACAAAACCCTTTTGAGAAAGATACTTTAGTTTGAAAATTGTATAAAATCTTTGAAAATTTGACTCAATGTCAGGTTTACCCAGAGTATGCATTCAAATGGCTGCATTAAGAGATAGAGTTATAACACTAATGTGAATATGATGATCTGAATGGATGAACATATCTGAAGTGAACATATAAAGTAAAAATCCAGAAAAAAGCATATTTATACTTATCACTATTATGAATGGGGATTTTTAAAGGTTACCCTTCCCATTAACAATCTAGACTTTTTTTTTTAACCTAAATGAGTTTGTTAAGCATGACTTCTGCACACACTTTTCACATTTGTCCATTGTACATGTGGGATCATGAGCTTTTAAGTATGTGATTAATGTGGGAGTTCAGTTGGTGAAACTAAGCAAAAGCCTAAAACTAAGCATACGCGTCAGAGTTGTCTTAGTGAAGTAAATGTGTTCCTGACAGGTAACTCTAAGGTGCGATCCCATGAAGGGGACTTGATTGTGCATAATCACTCAGCAGAATGAATTAGTTGAATCATTTAATGCCAACTAAATATTGTATGCCATTGTTAACTAAAAATGTTAGGAAGTTTCACTATTTTTAATGCATGTGATATTTTTGCACTAAGAAACAGAAATCTTGATTAAAACCAATTGCTAAGTAGTGTAATTCACAAAACATTAAGAAAAAAAATTATATTTTAGTCCCTGTTCACAGGAAATATTTCAGGAAGTAATGATGTCCTTCTATTTCCTATAAGGGTAGCAGAGGGGAGCCAGGTCCTGCGGGTCCTCCAGGTTTACCAGGGAAATGGGTAAGCAGTTTATTTCCATATTCAGTGTTCATGTTTACTTTCAAGGAGCTATGGTATCATCTGGAACTACACTTACCCATTTATCCACGCAGGGAACTGAAAATAACGTTGAAACGAGTGATTGTTGAGTTTCTTTTTCAGTCCTCTGTGACTAATATTAGCAAATGCTGTTTTAAAGTATATGGAGATGTGTGGGACTTTTTCTTCTGTTTAAGAAAACATAAATCCTGTGATGTGCAAAGCTGGGTTGCACACTCCTGTGTGGGCTGTGTGTACTTGGGTAACAGGAGCAGTGAAAGACCGGCTTTCTGCTAACAGCTACGTGAAACTAATGAATGGAGCAGATTATGAATGCCACCTTTTACCAGTGCTCCAGCACTATTTACACAGTAACAGTCAGAAGCATAGCTGGGGAGGTTTTGGCTGAAAGAGCCTGCTGTTACAGAGGAATGCGCAAATCACAGAGTGCAAGATCTTAGGAAGTATTTTTAAGGGAACCAGACTGTTGTCGAGGGACTGGAGGGTGGAAAGCCCTGTAAGCCATTTCTGTTGTGTTTGTCAGCAATAAAATCATAATAAAATGCTGTTTAAAGGGCTGTATTTTGAATCAGCTCTATTTTCATCAGATAATCCTCTTTCATCAAGTTAGGATTGTTCTGGGAATAAGATTCTGCCCCATATTCTTGTCAGGATATGACCCTTAGTTGCTCATTTTAAAACAGATTGTGTAAGTTTACATCCTTGACTTATTTTCACAGGGTCCCCAGGGTGATATTGGACTTCCTGGACTGCCAGGTCCTCCAGGCCTACCTGGTGGTAAGGGTGACCGGGTAAGAAAAGCACTCATACATACAGACTGCAGTTTGATGTCAGGAGTAAATACAATAATTTGAGCAGTGTTTGCAGTTTTTACATGAATCAACGTTTGGTTTCTTGCTTTGTATGTAGATCTGTTAATTGCTTGAAAGCGGTGCTTTAGGTGCCCATTAGATAATTGTAGCTCATAAAATATACAGGAAAAACCTTGACACTGTTACTTAAGGGACTGAAATGAGATTACTGGTGTAAATATTTCCTTTTTTTTGAGTTTGAATAATTTAAAGGCCTAAATCATATTGTAAATCATTGACTCGGCCAGATCTGAAATTGTAAATCAGGGTCTCTGGTCACTAAAGAGCTGTGGAACTTCAGCCCTGGTCTATAGTAGATACAATGCCTTTTACATACGTCTTAGGACCTGCTATGGAAATGCACAGGCAAATGCAGCTATTGAGACACCTATGCATACACGCACAATTACAGGATATAAGTACCTCTTCTAATACTTTGTTAGGAGGGAAGAACTGGGCCCTGGGGATCTCACATACCTGCAGAGGATATCTTGCTTTGCTGAATACATGTCAGTGAAGACTGTATATAAAAAAAAATACGTTCCTTATCTTCTCTTGCTTATGGGAGGCTACAGAAGATGGAATTCACTCACCAAACTTTGGACATCTTTGTTATAGAAACAGTCAGTTCTACACTGTGTTTCACCCTTCTTACTTGATACACCTACTTCAGTATTAAATGAATTGCACTTCTGAAGTGCCTCTTACTTTCCACTGACCATCAAGGAAGTATAGAACTGTTAGTGAGACATAGATATCACTGCTGTAGATGTCTTTAGTTGAACAGAGGAATCCTGCCCCTAGTATGCTCCCAGTATACATCATAGGGTGGCTAGATAGGGCTTGCAGTTGTTTTAGGCAGTTTTTAAAAGCTGCTCAGGCACTTAAAAACAAGTTTCTAACACAGTCTTTGTTGTTGAGGTATTTCTTCATATGTTTGTTTTTGTTTATTTTTTCTTTTTTTAATGCTGAGATCAGGAACATATATTTCTAGTCACATGTAAGTATTGACATAAAGCAGTCTCTTTGTATTAGATTGGTAACGATTCATACTTTAGACTTCTTCAGAGGGAGATTGAAGCTACCTGAGGAAGGAAATCTGGAAGGAAAATAACTAGTATTTATTGCAGTGCTGACAATCTCCCTCCAAAGATGCCTGATTTTTCTCATTTACCGTATAAAGGGTCTGGACCTCTAGGATAAGAGCAGAATGTAGATGCTGTAAACAGACCCATTGAGATTCAGGCTACACCCAGGAGGTTTCCATTTATATAACTGGCAGATGACAGTATCTTATGCCTGGAGCTTTTTTTAAACCCTAGGGTCAGTTTAATGCCCTGTGCTTAAAGTACCTGACCGTAAAGTCCAAAAAGCTATGCTAGCAATTATCTCATCTTGTGATCGCTTTTTAGCTTTCCTGTTTTGAGACAAGTGTCAACTGGATCCATTTGTATCCTTGATTCATTTTTTTTCTTCAGTTGCGTAGAGGCTGGAGTGAATTTTCTGGGGCAGGCTTAACATGGCTGCAGCGTTGCCAGTAGCACTGATCTGCAGTATGTATTCCAAGTCAGAAACCTGGAGAGCATTGTGCCACTCTTATCCTTTTTCTACCCTGTTCAACTTGCAACTGCATCTGTCTTATACAGAGCCAAACATCCTTGTCAGGGTTTGGAAATAGGTACCTCTGTAGCCTGTTAACCTTAGTCTTTGGGTCAGCCACTGGTATCAATAAGTTCCAGACTGAAGTAACCTTTCTTCCCTTCCTGATTTCAAAACTTCATGGTTTTGTACACAGGGATCCTATAAAGTTCTGTTGTGAAGCCCTTACATGCCTGATAAGAGTTGACATAAACAGCAACTGGAAGCCAAGTAGAAGTCACAAAAAAACGTGATTCAGTAGTCATTCTTAATCCCAAAGTTGTTAGATATTGGGTACTATCTGCTGGCACCTTGTCACGTGCAGGCAATTTTGACCGCTTAAAGAACCACCACCAAAGGTATCAGCAAAAGTGGTTTTATTGAAGTAAGATGTTGTAAAAGTGAGACTTAACAAAGTTTGATGGCAAGGTTCACTCTATTCCTTACTGCAGAATCATTACTATACCAGTAATGATTCAAAGCTACCAACTCAAAATCTTCGTGCACTATAATACAAGGTTATGCACAATGTCAGTCACTTACCAAAGATCTGCAGTTGGTAAGGGGTCTCTCAGCCTCAAGGAGTAACCTTGCGAGGTGTCCCAGCTCAAGAGGAGATCACCACCATGCAGCCAGCTGCTTAGCAGGGAGAGCTCAAAAAAGGCTCACTCAGGCTGTCCTATTTATGGAATAAAGTGGTTGGCTTGTAGTCAAATTATGTGCAATGGAGAAGGTAGGCATGAGACTCCTTGTACCCACAACTTACTTTGTTCCTTGACAAATGAGTCTTGGAAGAAGCACCTGCTATTCATGTGTTAATTGCATGGTCGGTGTTGCAGTTTCCAAGCCCATATGCATCAATGCTCACCATGTCACCCTCTTCCTGTGTGGGTTTTCAGAGAACAGATTGGAACACGAAAAGTTCTTGGCCTGGTTATGGCCTGGGCCTTTATTTCTTTTGGAGCCTGAACCAGACTGCCACTAGTAAGGTCAAGGAGTCGAGTGCATCTGTCACACACCTGACATATTATAGCAGAGATAGCAATACAAAACAGTGTTTTAGTACAGTTACCTCTTGCCTTTATGTCATAAATATGTGGCATACTGCAAATCAGTGAGTGGTAAGGGTACAAGTATCTGATGCGTTGCTTAGCTTAAGCATTACAATTAATGCTAATTATATACCATTGCACATACAGAACCAGTTGATTGCATATGTTTTACATGTTGGATTAACACAATTTGTTTCATTATTTGCCAAACTTTGATATACAGAATGATTATGAGCAATAAACACAATAAAGTCAGGACTAACAAAACAAATCAAATTCAAAGCTCCAGTTGATGTTGGTGAGCATCCAAGGAGAGTTTCCCACCAGTGATGTTCTCCATCTTTCTTCACTCTTTATAGGATGTGATGTATCTTCTCTGTGTCATGATAGATGGTAATCAGGATTCTTTGTCTGTTGTTTTGAATTCGTTTTAGCAATTGACACAGGTTGACACGTTGCAACAGTTTTCTTACCAAAGTGAGATTCATCCCAATGGGGGAATGAATAATAAAACTTGATACAATGTATAGTTAGATTGTAACAATTGGTGGGATGTGACAGGAGCTGAATATGAATGGCAAACATTTTGTTTGGTGTCAAGACAAATGTCTTGGGCATTACTGGTATTACTTTCATAAATCAATCCTTTTTATTCCTGTACAACGGATTTGTCAACATCAACAGTTTGCCATTTGTTCCCGTTTTGTTGGGCTATGTTCTATGTTCTAATAGGTAGAGTACAGTTCCATTGTGACTTAATCCCAGCGCAATGATTGGGTATATGGTGTATACTGAAGCATTGCGTATTGTTAAAAGCTGTGGCTTTACTGTCAGTGGGGTCATAAGTGAGATTGACTGGATACCACCAAGATTGGAAATCCCTTTTGAATTGAGTCACATTTTCCAAATTAGCTTTTGAATCTCAGTGCCTTTCCTTATAATTGCCACTACAGTAAATTGCACCCATAACTGAGCTTGGATAAAGCTAAGAGCTAGAGAGACATTATTCTGGGCAACGCCAAGTGCGTCTGCAATTAGTTGGTGGTCCTTCTCATTAATTCTTTCCCATTTAGGCAATATATCAGGTAAAACCATTGACTAGGTCCCAGTGCCAGCAAAGAAGATCAAAATGGATGTTCTAGTTTATGCAAATCACTTGTTGCTGAGCTTAATTTGTTTGCTAAAACTTCAGCGTCTATGCTGTTTAATTCTCCTAATCTTGTCCCCAGAACGCCCATCACATTCCTCCATGTTCATTTTGGAGAAGTGAGGGTTCGCCCATGCAACCATGCTAACCATCCTGTATAGGATGTATTTAGGAATGGTGAGCAAGTAGGTTTAACTGCAGAGATACTAACCTGCATTGATAGTTCCACTCATCTGAGGGACCATGATGGATTAAATAGCACTTGTTGCTGGCCTGTATATTTAATAGCATAGGGTCCAACTTCAGCAATCAGGATATGTAGTTTTGTTGGTTGTGGGAGTAATAAAATAGGGAGTAGGTTAATAGGCAGTAGAGGTAGCTGTTGGTGTAGTGTGAGGGCTGGGAATAGGTGTTAGCATGACCTCTAGGGATAGTCCATTTCCTTTATCTTTCCGTGTATCTGTCAACAGGCATACTGCTTCTATAGTTGTGTCATTAAAGAGGAAACTAATTATACAACTGGGGTGTGAGAAACAGTTTGCTCTGCTTTTGATTGAGTTTGATTTGTCCTTTTGATGACCACGTAGGGGTTTCCCTTTGAATAATTTGTTACATTACATTCAATAGAGATTTTGTCACCTGGTGTAGCAAAAATAAGGTGACTTTTATTTGCTTTTACCATGCTGTGATTACCAGTGATTATCATTGTTAGGTTTTGTCTTGGTTTTCCCATTATTCCTGTATTCCCATCAATTTTAAACATGTATGGCACAGAATGTACTATAGTTACTGTATTGATCAGTATAAACAAAAGAATTGCAAGGTTTCCATCCTGTGTGTTGGGCTTGCTGATGTGTGAATGAATTTGGTTCATGCTGGCAATGATTACTCCTGTGAGAAGGATAAGCAATCCCTCAATGGTTAGCCTGGTCTCCAGGGGAGGTGTGCCAGTATCATTCCTGTTATCGTCCTGAAAGGAAAAAAACAATACAAGTCTCAGTGAGATATTTCTGGACTGGTTACCCATTCTAGTTAGTGGCTAGGGTGTGTCCACCTAGCGCTAATATGATGTTTAGCTCCATTGCTGTCTTTTGCTTCCCAGG